ATGACGCCAACAGTTGGGCCCAATAACACCAATGATGGGGCATAATTTCTCCCAAGGACACCAATGATGAGGCAGAATTCCCCAATGACACAACGATGAGGCACAGTTCCTCTCATTAGCACCAAAAATACTGATACTGGGACATTTTCTATTCCCGATGTTCACAGTCCAGCCCCCCTAAAGTCTGAAGAACATTAAACTGGCCCTTTGTATATAAAGTTTGGAGACCCCTGCTCTAGAGAAAGAGATGTTGTGTCTCACCAACTTGGACAGGTTGTTTGAAAAATCCCTTATGGGCCTCAATGGGTTTGATAGGGTTATGGTGTAGGTGTGTCTTTTTTTTTCTTGGATTCCTTCTCTCTGAAAATCACAGACTGTCATGCCTGTGATATCCAGATGTAGGAAAACTGATATAGGAAAACTTGAGGGACATATTCTTGTAGCAATTGTACGTACTAGAGATGGATGCGGTCATCCATCTTGCTACAGATCCTCCATCCTGTATCATTCTCTCTCCCTCCAATCCCCCTCCCTCAGGAATGTGGTCTGTATGTATGCTGAGATCACAGGCATCAGGCATAGCGGGATAGCTTCATGGTTATAAACCCCAATTAGCCTGGACCCAGTATGTCTGTGAGACTCTTGCTTGGAGGTGATCGTAAAGCTATAAACCAGTCCTTCACTGACCATGAAAGACATTCCGAGATAGCTGTAAAACAGACATCACATTTAAAAACCACTTTTCCATATAATTTCATATCTTAAGATAGGAAATAATTACAATGAAACAAAACATATATTCGGATAGCTCAGTTTAATGCGAGTCGCCTGATATCTTACACCCCTATTTAAAGTCTACAGGAGAGCAGAAAGCCATATAGTTCTCGCTGAAATAGTAAGGTATGGCATATTTGATGTCTGGACGTTCAGGATATCATTCTGCATATTAATCTACTAGTGGCTAGGTTGCTACATGTACCTAGGGAAGGTTATTGACCATGGCATAACTTGGGAGGGATTTGGTCATAGCCTGAGTTCCCCGCCTAAAACACCCCTCCCCAAATGAGGCGATTGGTTCTCTGCTTTAAGGAGAAACCCTGCTGAGTTCCTAGAAAAAACCTTATTCAAACATCATAGTGTTATTGCTAATATTGGCGAGTTTCCTCCTTCTCTGTACAAAAAGGCGGTGGTGGCAGTGTGAAGGGTTAATTGCGTAATTAACCTGACCAAGTAACAATCGCTCTCAGGCTGTGGTACATAGATTGTGGTCCATTAGCTGGAAAATCTTTGTGCAGGGTGCAGCTGAGCGTGGCATTGTTACGCACGTGACAACGCGGTTTTAGATTGGCTAGTCCTTCGGTCACGAGTTGGTAAGAAGGGCTGGGGGTCTGACGCCGCGACCGTCACAATTCCCACAGTATTTACAATTTTCATTCTTGATCTATGCCTTTATGTCAGATTAGCACTCAAGTTGAAGGTCATAGTCTGAGGCTTCCAACACTCCCTGGTCCACACATGGCCTGTTTTTACCAAACCGCTGGACTTAATATGGGTGCCATTTCTACTCCCACTTCCAGGATCCAGAATCCAGGCTGAATAATCAATTAGAGAGTAACTGTAACTTGCAATTTACTAAACAGAGGCAATGTTAGCGGCAATAATGTAAAACATGTTTACGATGGCAAAGAGTATTCATACATTGCAGAATAGTAAAAAACAGATTATGAAAGCTGCACAAACATGGATTTTTAATGGCAATGTCTCTTTGACTCAATCAGTGTAACATGGGGCTGCGTAGTATAGTCTCTATAAGACTCTTGAACAATAGAGAGTATAGCTGAGAATCACTACTTTAGTAACACATTTCAGAACACAAACCGCTACTTGCAATTATCCCCATAAACAGTATCCCTCTCTGTGAAGTCCAGGGTAGCACTGGTAACACAGACAAACAGCTAGATGGATTCATGGGTACTTCTGAGGTATTTGAGGAGAGAATACTAGCATTTAGAAAATACAACATGGAAGGGACATTCTAAGCATTGCAACAATTTCTGCAGGAGAGCAATCAGAGTAGCTAAAACAGAACATGAAAAGCAGATTGCAAAAGTAAGTAAATTAAACTTAAAAAAGTACTTAAACTATATCAGTAGTAAAAAGGTGAGAACAGAATATGTAGGCCTCAGAAAATTGAACATGGGAAGTAAGTCACGAATTATAGAGAGACGACAGATGTATTAAATTCATTACTAAAAAAACACAACAGTAAAAAAAAGTCTGTAGATGCAGTAAAGCATGCTTGATATACTCACAGTGGAACCTAAAGGGTTAATTCTCTGCATTGTGTAAAAAGGCTGTTTGATCCTGACTTCTCTGATCCTCCCCTTCTTCCAGTGTGCCCCTTCTATCTCCTAATAAGATATATCTTGTGGAGACACTCTGCACATGCTCATTTTGGTGTGTATGGCTAGGAAGGTTGTTTTTTTTTTCTTGGGAGAGTGCATGTGATCAGCACAGGGCCAATCAGCACTTTCCAGAATGAAAATTCTTCCTACAAGCTTTAACCAGTGCTCTGCTGAACACTGATAGAAGTCGTAAGACTGCTCTAACTGCTGATGAGTAAAGGTATTTAGCAGTTCATATTTACTAAAATAATTGCATTTCCATGTTCTGTACTGTCGGATACCAGATATATTGAATGCAGGATCCTGGGTTTAGTAACACTTTAGGTTTATAAAAGGAAAAAAGATGAGTTTGATAGAAAAGTACTGCTAATAACATTTTACTGAGTGTACCTTTGCAACTGACAGAAAACCTGGTTCAAAATAGATTAGAAAAAATAAAAGTGATTCTAAATGCCAAAGGTTTTTTTCTACTCTCCTGGGTCTCTCTCTCCTCTCATAGGCTCAGACATAGCAGCGGGAGCAATTGGCTTCCACTGCTATCACAGCTAGTGAGGAGGGAGAGGGAGGTGTGGCTGAGCCCCATTCTGTGTGTCTTATGGACACACGGAGCAGGGCTCAGGAGTGAGCATGCATGAGTGCCCCGAGAGCAAGCAGTGTGCTCTGGGGACACTCAGCAGGGGGGAGGGGCCAGGAGCTCTGGCAGGGGACCGGAGAAGAGGAGGATCAGGGTTGCTCTATGCAAAACCATAGCACAGAGCAGGTAAGTTTGACATGTTTGATATTTTTTTTGTAAAACATTTTTACCTTTACTATCAGTTTAATGTGAATAAATCACCCAAACCAGACACTTTAAACCCAAGAGTCTTCAGGAAGCTTAGCTCTGTTATAGCCATGCTGCTATTTCTAGCTTTCAAAGACAACTTACTGACTGGAATGGTACCAATTAATTGGTGTACAACAAATGTAGTACCAATATTTAAAAAAGGAGTGAGATGTATACCAGAAAATTACAAACTACTCAGTCTAACAACAATAGTATGTAAAGTATTTGACCAAATGGTAAAGGGCTATATTTTATAATGTCAAAAAATAGAAATAGTATATCTGGATTTTGCTAGAGCATTCAATACTGTACCTCTTAATTGATTAATCTACAAGCTAAGATCTCTTAGTGTTGAAGAAACTGTATGGATTGATAGACAACTGGCTGTTTGATCCAGAGAATAGTGACACATGACTTTCCCTAAATAGTCCAAGGTTGTGAGCAATGTGCCCCAGGTTCCTGTCTTGAGGCCAATAGTTTTTAAGCTGTTTATTAATGATTTTGAGGTAGGATTTTTAGAACTCAATTTTAATATCCATTGATGATATCAAACTATACCGGGAAATAAAATCTGCACAAGATGTAGCAACATTAGTTAAACTAGAAGAGGTTCAATATTGAAAAGTGTAAAGTCATGCACTTGGGTGCTAAAAATACGCCTGCAAAATATTCATTAGCAGGGTCCCCTTTGAGAGAATGGATGATGGAAAAAGATTTTTCATTTTGCATACGTTAAAATCTGCATTTTAGCTACAGAGTTACTTAACCCCTTGGCGCTGGTACCTCCCGGCCCTTTAAGGGGTTTGTGACGCTGGGAGGCAGGGTTTAGGGTCATGTGACCGCCGTAATTGGCAGTCACATAATTGGAAAGGCCCCGGATGCAAGAAGCGATTGGGACCATTCCGTGAGGCGCCAGTAAATGTGGCAGGTACATGCAGGGTGTGCACTCTCGGAACATGTTTGTTTACTTTTGGTACGCAACAGTGCAGCCACTCTGCATCAAGGCCCAGCTGCTGAGCCGCTGTACCCTCAGCGTCAACATAGTAAAAATCCAAGCACATTACATATTTTCTGAACACAGAGGCCCTGTAGATTACATGTACAAAAAACACTGGCACTACGCTACCAGAGTGCACTAACGGTGACTATGCTAGGCATAAAACTGTATGGTAAACACTGTCAGTAGTTGAGAGGCCAATGATGGGTATAGAGAAATGTAAGGGGTTTGCCTGCTTGTTATTTAATAGAGCAGTCCTTGAAATGTTTCTTTTGCTGGATATACATTGGGGCCTTTAAGAAGCGTTGGTACACTTATCGAGAGTGCTGATGAACCTGCATGCATTTAAGAATTACTACAAGGGTGGTATAGCCTCTGCACAGATGCAATGTAGATGTGGGACAAATACTGGGTAAAGGTGCATCAGATATGTTCAGTATAGCGGTGGTTTGGAGTTGGTAGAGGTGCAATACAGTTTGGGATGAATGCGTTTTGAGCTGGTGTACTTGGCGCCCTGCTCACTGATATTCAGTCCCTGCTAGTAGTGTAATGTGTGGGCCAATAGTCCTCTCAACAGTCTCCTGGATACAGCTGCAGCATCTACAGAGGAAGGGGCCTCCACAGTCTCTCCTCTAAGTCTTTTGCAATCAGCAGTGTAAGCAGATGGATGCTCCATGTTCTCTCAAGTCCCCCTCTCTAACTGGCTCTTGGGGTGAGAGGAAAGAACTGGCAGAGTTCCGAACTCCTAGGGATCTTGGGCACAAAAGCCCCAAGTAGGGACGGACTGACAACTCATGTGGCCCCCGGGCAATAGGGGATCATGGGGCCCCTATGTCCTTGCCCAAACTCAAAAAAGCCTATGAAAAAGGTACCAGGGGCATCTCATGAGGCGCCCTACTGACCCCGGGCCCTTGGGCAGTACCCGAGTTTCCAAATGGCCAGTCCGCTCTTGTCCCCAAGCTTTTCCAGTGCAGTGTACTGTAAATCCCCGTTCAGCTCCTGAGTCTCAGAATCTATTTGGATTTGTAGTTCAAAAAGTGATGCCGTTTTGGACTACATCTCCCATGATCCCAAATGCTCTTCATTCCAGTCTATGAGATTGCTTGGCTAGCAATCCTGCTCCCTGATTGGTCCTTTGCTCTGCTGCCAGGAAGGGAGGGTCTCACACAGAGCCACAGCACAGCCAGCATGACAGCATGAGAAGAGTATTTTACACAGGCTGCTCTGGCTCCCACAATGTAGGCGGGGGGGGGGGGGAGAAGGGGAGGCAGATGAATTGGCAGTTACATGGAACAGCAGACAGTCAGCTACATTTATCTCACATGATATTTGCAGAACTGTTTCTATATTTTCAGGAAAAAAATACGCTAAAATGAATTTTAGTACATACAAGCACAATCTAATTAATCTTTTTTTGTAGAAAATAAAAGATGAGGCAGTGTTGAGTTCATACGTTGTAGATACCAAATATATCAAGCCTCCAAACTGTGTGCGCCCACGAAATTGTGGTACCCAAATAGTCAATGGGTGATGTTTTAATAGCCTTTACAGCTTGGAAGTTTAGAGTTAACTGTAAATAAATGACCTAGAATTACTACTCTTGTGCACAATTCTCAGGATGTCTTACATAATCATTTAACCAGATCCCGCTGGGCCTATACCAGATTGACAGCTGGGCGGTCCTCTTCTCCCTGTGACTGGGCGTCATATGATGTCCTGTGCATCGCGCCGGGGGCGCGCAGTGCAGTCGTTGCTGTCAGGCTGTGTCACTTCCCTGCTGAAGGTAAAGAGCCAATGAAATTGGTTTTTTACCATGTAAAAAAATTACGTGTTCAAGAGACTCATTATGCCTCATATAGAATATACGTTGGTGTGTTTACTTTCCAAAATGGGGTCTTTTTGTGGGTAATTCCATTGTCCTGGTGCTCCAGGGCCTTCAAAAATGTTAGAGGTAGTCAGGAAATGAAAAGTGTAATTTATGCCCCTATTATTATTATTATACAGGATTTATATAGCTCCAACAGTTTGCTCAGCGCTTTACAATATAACAGGAGACAATACAGCAACAATACAGTTTAATACAAGAGGGATGGGAGGGCCCTGCTCCTTGGAGCTTACAATCTAGGAGGGAGGGGCAAGTGGTACAAAAGGTAGTAACTGTGGGGGATGGACTGGTTGGAAGAGTAGAAGATTCCATTATTAGCTGAGGGCAGGATAGGCTTCCCTGAAGAGATAGGTTTTCAGAGATCGCCTAAAAGTGAGCAGAGTAGGTGATAGTCTGATAAATTGGGGTAGAGAGTTCCAGAGGATGGGGGAAGCTCTGGAGAAGTCCTGGAGATGAGCATGGGAGGAGGAGACAAGGGAGATAGAGAGCAGGAGGTAGTGCGAGGAACGGATAGTACGGTTTGGGTGATATTTGGAGACAAGATTGGTGATGTAATTTGGGGCAGAGTTATAAATGGCTTTATATATTATTGTTAATGTTAGAACACATGATGGTGCTACTTGGATGTTGGGTCTCTGTATGTGTCTGGGCTGTGTAAAAGTCTCACACACGTAGTATCGCCAAACTTAGGACAAGTAACAGAATGTGTTTTGGGGGTGTAATTCTTGGTATGTACATGCTATATGTTAGACATATATTATAAATTGACAACTTTTTGTAAAAAAAAAAAAAAAATGTTTTAATTTCCTTTCCACATTTTTCAAAAACTTGTGGAAAAAATTGCATGTTCAAAAGACTCATTATGCCTCATAGAATATAGGTTGGGATGTTTTCTTTCCAAAACAGGGTCATTTTGTGGGTAATTCCATTGTCCTGGTGCTCCAGGGCCTTCAAAAATGTGATAGGTAGTCAGGAAATTAAAAATGTATGCCTCTAGAACACCTGATGGTGCTACTTGGATCTAGGGCCTCTGTATGTGGCCAGGCTGTGAAAATGTCTCACATATATGGTATCACCATACTCAAGAGGAATAGCAGAATGTGTTTTAGGGTGTAATTGCAAGTATGCATATTCTGTGTGTGAGAAATAACTTGTTAATATGACAATTTTGTGTAAAAAAAACAAAACATTTCTTCATTTTCCCAAGAATTGATGAAAAAATTACAATGTCAAAAAAATCACCATGCCTCTTACTAAATAGTTTGGACTGTCTATTTTCCAAAAGGGGGTCATTTGGAGGGAATTTGTACTTTCCTGGCATGATAGGGCCTCAAGACATGAAATACATCAGTACATCAGGTGTGATACATTTTCAATGACTGTTACCATAGCTTGTAGACTCTATAACAGACTAAATAATATACTCGGATTTGGGTTATTTTTATGTAGCAGTAAAAATTGTGGCCTGAATTATGAAGGAAAATTAACTTATTTGCAACATTGTTTAATGGAAACAAAATGGTGATTAAGTACCACCAAAATAAAGCTCTGTCTCTGAAAAAATTGATAAAAGTTGTTGAGGTACAGTGTAGTATGACTGAGTAATTGTCATTCAAATTGCAAGAGCACTAAAAGCTGAAAATTGGTCTGGGCAGGAAGGGGGTGAAGAGCCCGATATTGAAGTGGTTAAATACACATGCTCGTCCTATGCACACATTTGCATTCATATATGTGTGCACAGGGCAATGATAGTGCTTTTAAACTTTTTTTCATTATTTTTATTTAATATATTTTATTTTACATGTTTAACACTTTTAAAAAATTGTATTGCTAACAATCCCCCTATATGATAGCATTAAGCAAGTAACATGTACTCTTTATAGAGCCATGAGGGGTCTACTAGACCCCTCATTCCTACCCTGTCCTTCTGTTCCAGTGGATCAAGCACAGAAATGTGCTTGACCTGCTGTTTACCCAGATGGGATTTTGAGTACTGTGTACCAGAAATGTTCAGAGCTGAACACTTTCAGATCCACACTCAGCAGATGGTTCCCAATCTCCTACTGATTAACATTCTGACATCCTTTGTAGTGGTCCTGGGGTTCCAGGAGGAGCATAAAAGAAAGGGAATATTGGACTCATCACCTACAAGTTATGCAAAAGTTATCACTACAGCCACCCACATCACGTTTACATAAAAGCTGAAAAAGTGGATGTACTAAACTAGGTGTTCAAAGAGCTGAAGCAGTTAAAAAGGGATTTGATTACAATGTTCAAATTCATCAAAGGCAAGTCTAGTAACTGTAATAAATTGCTTACTCTATAGCCCCCAAATAAGACACATGGCCACAATTTGAGATTGGACGAAAGGAGGTTTAATGTTAAATTCCGTAAGGGGTTCTTTACTGTTGGAGCTGTGAAAATGTGCAATTCCCTTCCGCAGGATGTAGAATTAGCCAAAAGTGTTGATAAATTTAAAAAGCTTTTGGATGCCTTCCCCAATGAGCATAACTTAATGGACCTGTATCTTTGTTCAGCCATATCAACTATGTAACTTTTAAGCTTTTACTTTGCTGTGTGCATGCCCGTTTTGACATTGGAGGGCCTCTCACTTGGCTGCAGATCACTTGCTCAGTTACCCCTCCTCCTCTTATGTGTGGCCTATCTGAGCTGCTAAGCGAGGGAAGCTGAAGCTATTATCTGCCCTAGGCATGTACAGAAACTCAGGGAGCTGCGGGAAATGGAGTTAAAGGGGCATATGCCTGCATCTGATGTAAATGGGCACTCACGCTACACATTTATGACAGAAGAAACATACAAAGTCTCTTTTGTCATAAAAAGCTGTCAGAGTTTTTTAAAAATGAAGTTTACTTCTGGAACATTGCAGCACCAGCTTTTGTAGCTCCTGCTTACTGTTCACCTTACTCAAAATATCTGTTGTTCAGTCGATATAAATGCCACAGGGAATGGGTTAATCAGAACGTGAGAATGGTATATGAAATATCTACTGTACTTAAAATCAATTACTACAAAAAGAGAAAAACAATAAAAACAAAAATATAAGTTGATAAGGGAAAGACAGGCATATTGATTTAGAGATAAAAGTGACACCTGTCTGACACAAACAGTAAATAGCAAGGGAGCAGGTTATATATGGGTGTGTGCACACTGCAATAATACAGCAGCATAACACAGATCAAACACAAGAATCTCAACAGAAATAAGTCATAGCGGAGCACAAACTTAATACAATTTGAGCTTCTTCCAGGGAAAGAGAATCAGATTCCCATGACAATAATGACAGCCGGATTGTAGCCATTATTCTTGTTGTACATAATATTCACCTAAAATAATTGTTTTATGAAAATGTGTTAGTATTCCATTAGTATTCATTCCTCTGAATAGATTTGTAAAATAGAAATAAAATAACATAAAGTGGCTGGAAAGACAGTGAAAGGAATCTTAGTAAAGAATATTTAGGAGACAGCTGCTTGTGGAATTTAGAGATCTCAGTGACCCCGTGCTGCTGGCCCTTGCAGGTCTTCACATCTCTGCAGGCACCATATGTCCCACCAGATGCCAGCAGTGTCCAAACCTTGCCTCTTACAGGCTAATTAAAAAGGACATCTTGGTCCGTAAGCAGGGGAGCCCTAGGAAACATCTGGTAATGCCCACACAGTCTGGGTGAATTGCATGTATTCAGGCTGGTCAGAGGTTTGCCAGATAAGTGCACAGAAGGTTCTGCTTTTAAAATGAGAGAGACCTGTCATATGCCAGCTAGAAATGTTCACCCTGGAGTCCTCTTCAACTGGATTTGATTATTTTCTCAGGAGAAAAAAATCATTACAAGCAAAGGTCATTAATTTACAGCAAAAGCACAAGTGATTCTGTTTATAATAAGGGTCCATTAAGCAAAGATTTATGTAAAAAAAAAATCAAACTGTCCCCTCAAAAAGAAGGCTTATGCTATCGCTTAAATAAAGTGTGTTAGCTGTTTTTAAATGAAAAGCTGTTTTATTGTTTTTATAGCAGAACTGATTTATTACTATTTTATGAATGAAAATAA